GAAATGAAGGTGGAGAAGGAGGAGGAGCTGCAACGGGAGGCAAAACAAAAGCAACAGCAGCAACCACCAACGATTTATCACAGCAACGACGTCAACGACGAAATCGATCCGGATCTTAGTGCCCCTCATCGTCATCCCCATACCCAACTCCATCTGTGCTGCCCTCCTTAGCAACTCCCCTGTGCATGCACTGCGAAAAAATATTCCAACTATATGAAGCGCATTTGAGCAAGTATCTTGATCTCGAGGTAGTTTTGCCTTTTTTATATTCGATATAAGAATTTTGAATGGATAAAACTCAGATTTAATTGGAATACAACCTACAAAAGGAGGAGAAGATAGGAAATCTTAAAGATCCTTAAAGTATATTTTCTATGGTACTCAAATAAAATTTATTTAAAGTCTGAAGATTTTTATAAATTGCAAATTTTAGCATACAAGTTTTACACCTACATTTCTATGCTTGACGATTATAGAGTTCTTTTTAAAATATTAGAAGAAATATTTGCTCTGTGCATCGTTGCTGTGTGCTATATGTGCTCGCCAAGTGCCTTTCCGCCTTTGTGTGCGTGGAAGCATAACAAGTAATTTTGAATTTTTGAATCGTTAAAAGCAATTAATCGCCTCTACGCAACGGCAGCCAGCTTGGCTGCAACGACCGGCGCGATCCTCGGCCCGACTGTCTCATCAGCGTCAGCCGTAGAACCCATTCATCTGGAAGAGTCGTGGTCGCGATCCGCATGCTGCTGCATCCCCATCCCCATCGCCATCTATATCACCATCCCATTCCCGATCCCCGATCCACGAAACCCCAGCATTGCCGACGCTTTACTGCCCAATTTTGTTGCAAATTTTTCGTTCCGCGGAACTTGGTGCATTTCATCTCGTCTGCTCTTAGTGATCGTCGCAGTCGCCGCTTCATCTTCTTGCGTCGATCGTCGCGCACATTCATTTGTCGCTTAATGTCCCTCAGTTAGGCCGCCCCGGGCCAGTCAGTCCCCGCTGCCTCTCCTGGCATCACAGGCTCCTCCTTCGCCCCCGAGTTGATCGCATCCCAGTCGAAGTGGCAGTCCGTCACAGCGCCGGTCAGGCTAATAGGACAAACTTTGGTTTAATTTAAATAATCAAGCTCTTTCCTAATTATTTAATTATTTTCTTATAATTAAAGTAAAAATGTCCAAGTAACTTCTTTAGGACTCCATAAGGACTTCCATGGGTCCGACAATGGGTTTATCCCATTACTTCATTTATATTTTAAGAAGTACACAATAACTTCAGTCCTACCTTTCTGATCCCAACTGTGGGATATACGGGAGCTACGGCATGGCATCTGCCTCCTGGCTGCCACTGCACCACTTCTCCACTCGACTGCTCCCAGAGTGTCTGTATCGCCTTGGTATGTGCGGCATCTGCTGGCTAGGCTTCTGTGATGTGATCTGATGAAGCTGGTGGTGGTGGTGGTGCTGCTGCCCCTGTGGATGTGGTGACATCCACTTGCAGCTCTCGCACATTCGTCGTATTCGTATTTTTCTCGATTTTGTTTTCGCTGCCTGCACATTCACACGCAGTCGAACAGCAACAAAAACAGCATAAACCGTCGACCATCGACCATACCATAAAACATTAGTTTCCCATTTGCGTGCTAAATACCCTACATGGATTCGCGCCGAGCACATTGCTCATGGCCAGGGTAAACAGTTGCAAAGGGTTCCAAAAGGCATCTGGGCAGGCAGGGCTTCCGAGAAATTGTCGATGCAAAATGATGCTGGAAAGAGTTAAGCCAGTATTTGGAAAGGTGCGAAGATTACTACACTCAAAAAAAGGATTTCAAATTAAGTTATTAGCTTACACATGTTTTATATATTTAAAGCCTAGAAATTGTTTTCATAATAAAAGGATTCGCTTATGGCTATAGCTTTAAACTTGGAGAATTATTATTGTTTTCAAAAAGTGATGGAAGGACCATTAACTAATATTATTTCGATAGAAAATAGTAGCAAATTGCTTAAACTTAAAAAAATAAAAGGATTTGGTTTAAGAGGTGGAATAAATGGTTTCAAGATTAAATATTTAGTAAGGATATATTTATTGCACATATTGAATTAGAATTCTCTACAGAAACTGGCTGCACGCTGCTTAATTAATGCCTAATTAGGCCAAATACATTATATAAATGGCCATATCGAATGTAGGGCATCAGGGAGTCATCTTGGGAGCAACGAGATCGTCCGTCCATCCGTCCAATGCTCTTGTGGCACGCACTATGATGCGCGCTTTGAAGTCCTGTCAAGCACTTGAGATACATTTATGTATTTTTTTGCATTTTCATTGCCTCGACTTCGGGATCAGGCCGGGGGCCGAGGCCGGGCGGCACACAAATGCGAGGAATGATTAGTTAGTTGGTCATGCAAAATGGGTGAAACCGGTTCGGTTCTCACCGCGATCGAACATCGGAGGCATTGGGATCAGAACGGGGACAGAACAAAGCGGGCGATCCTTCAGCATAATCAACGGGCGGCTGCTGCTGATGATCGGCACAAATTACGAACGCACGGAATGTCCAGAAACCGAGAGCAGAGCTGATCACCTGACGCATGATGATCATTTGCAGATTGCACACACCGAGGATCGGATCGGTTCAGATGGGCAGCATGCAAGCGGCGCTGCTGGCGCTGCTCCTACTAGGCCAGTGGTCCTCCGGCACCACCTCTTTCTCTGGGTCCTCCTCCTCATCCACGTTCAACCAGCTGCAACGACAGAGGGTGGCGCACTGGTTCCGGGATAGCAACGATGTCAAGGATAAAATTCTGGAGCTGCAGTGCTTGGCGCGATGTGGCGGTGAGCCTACGATCAGCGAACGCGAGCAATGCCTGGACCAGTGCATCCAGGACTTGTTGCTGGGCCCCAGGGCTGGCAGCTGTCCCAAAATCGGAAGGCAGACGCGTCTGAGGCTCTCCTGCCTGGACAACTGCCAGTACGACCATGAGTGCCCCGAGGTGCAAAAGTGCTGCGCCTCGAGCTGCGGTCCCATGTGCGTGGAGCCCCTGGGCGTGAGAAACAACACACAGTTGCCACCGATTCCCAAGATCCTGTACTTCAAAAGGTCCCGTGGTCATGGCGTGGAGCTGAAGATCGAGTCCTCGCTGCTGGTCTACTATTTTCACGTGGAGGTGCGCTCTCACATTGGACGGCACTTTGCGCCCCGCAAACTCGGTCCCTGGCAGTGGCAGAAGGTGGAGAAGATCATGGAGGAGAACATTGGACACAGCAAGCAGTAGGTTGAACTTATTATACGATCTTAGTATCCCACTATTCCCTATACTCCATCCACAGCACGTACGTCTTCTTTCACATGCGGCCGGGACGCTGGTACGAGGTCCGTGTGGCGGCCGTTAACGCCCTTGGGTTCCGCGGATACTCACAGCACAGCGATGCCTTCCCCTCGTCGGGCAGTAAGTAACAAGATTAATAAATTAATGAAATCATTTAATAAGCGGGAGCGCGACCTAAAAATTAAAAATGCTGCAGGCAGTATGGGGAGACTTTTCCCAGTTTTAATTTTTAAACATAATAATGCAATTGTAATTTGAAAATCCGACTGTCCTGGAGTTAATTTCTTTAAATCGTAAATCGTACCCCTCAGACCCCAAGCCACCCAAGGCCCCAAACGATTCGCAGATAGTCGCGAAGCAGTTCGACGGCCGGTACATGAACGTAAAGCTGGTGTGGTGTCCCTCCAAGTCGAATCTGCCCGTGGAGAAGTACAAGATCAGTTGGTCGCTCTATGTGAACAGTGCGGAGGCCTCGATGATTACCCTCGATACCTACGTAAAGGACGTGAGTGGCCCGTTTTCTTCACCCAAAAAAAAAAGGAAGGCCCATTTCTATTAGCTGACTATGCTTACAGACCCACCAATTCGAGATCAAAAAGCTGCTGCCAAACTCCTCGTATTACATCCAGGTGCAGGCCATCTCCTACATAGGATCTCGACGCCTCAAGTCCGACAAGAGATCGCTGCTATTCAACACGACGATCCACTCGCTGGAGCCGTTCGCCCCGCTCCAATGCTCTGGGAGCGGGTACAAGCGCAGGTACCATCACATTGGCTCCATTAGCTCCAGCAGCAGCACGGAACGACTGGCGACGACAGCGGCAGCAGTTGGCCTCAATGAGGTTTCGCCGCGGACAACGGAGGCCGAGTCGGCCTATGAAGTACGTTTCCGGTTGAACCGGAAGTACGGCATGATTGTGCAGATTCTGGGCTTCCAGCCACACAAGGAGAAGTAATTATTAAGTAAACAAGTTGCCAAAGTCCAGAAATTACATGCCGCTATCCCCTATCCCACTGCAGGGTCTATGAACTGTGTCCCCAGGAGACGAACTGCGAGCAGCGCGAGTTCCGGGCGATTCGAGCCAAAGTAAGTAATGTAATACCCGTCATGGCAATGGTGATGGGAGCCACGAGCCACACGTCGAGCTGCCGGCTCTTGGTTCGTGCCTATCGGCTGGACCACCGGGCAAGGGCAAATCGATGGAACATCGTTGACCGTGGGGGATTTGTTAATAAGGCGAACTCATGTTTCCTTAGTTTGACACGGAAAACATGCCTGAAAAGCGACCAGTACGTGGCGAAGAGCCAATCAAATCCAGGGCCAGTGGGCGAGGAAATGGGTTAGAGCCTAGGTGCAGACTATACACTCAATAGGAATGATTCGGCAATTAATTTGAATCAATCATTATTAACTTTCTTCCCTGCCCTTATGCTTACAGAGGGATCCGCTGGAGTTTAGCAAACTCAAGTACAACACCACATATGTGCTGAGGGTGCCGCGGTCCAGTCCCAATTCCGTTCTGGACGACTCCAGGAACGTCTTCACCTTCACAACGCCCAAATGCGAGAACTTTCGCAGGAGCTTTTCCAAGCAACAAATCAAGTGCAACGACTAGCGAGTAACTGCAGCCCCCGGCACACCATGAGATTACACTAGATTGTAAATAATTGTATGTAAAGCTTAACTTTTACTTATTGTTAGATATAAGGACACTCAACACAATCGAACAAAGAATGTTTTCTATGCAAAGAGGTCCTTGAACTGCTGCAGGCCATTCTGTTGGGCGTCCTGGCTGGCTGGGGTCCCCGGAAGCTGACAGTCTGCCAGGTTCACGCCGTGCTCCAGAAGAGCTGCTATCAGTCGCGAGGTGTAGAGCACTGGTCCTCCGACCAGGTGTAGGAAATCGTAGTGCTTCTCACGTCGCGTGCTAAATAGGATTCGCTTGGAGACAAAGTCTCCGTAGTTGCTGATCCTTCCCACGCAAACGTAACGCTGCAGTGATGGGGCATACACCTCGATGACGGCTCGCAGGCTCTCTGCCGGGGTGAGTGCGGTTGCTGGTGCGTAAGTAATCCTAAATGGAACATCTAGCGCTTTGTAGAAATCTATGGCCAGATTTAAGATTTGCTCCATTTGGGCGTCCGCTTCGTCGGCTGTTTGTGTGGCCACAAAACTCTGCACAGCATTTGATTGTGTGGCCGTGTAGAGGCTGGGATCGGGACCATATAGTTTTGCTTCTGCTCGACTGTAGCTGCGACCACAGCACACATAGCGCAGCGGCAGGACAGAGGGATACACGCACAGCTTGGTCATGGCGCCCAGATAGCTCTCGAAGGCGGCTCCTCCCGTCAGGTAGGCTGTGTTGATCTTGTTCTGAAGATGCTCCTCGCGCACCAAATAATAGTCATCCATGGGCGAAGCATTTGCCTCCAGGAGAACGCAACGCACAAAGTCCGGATTGGCGGTTTGAATGAAGTCGCCGTGCTTTACAAAATAGCGGGCAAGGGACTGCATGGCGTTGACGTCGAAATGAGCAGCCTGCTCCATCAAGTAGTACCGGTTGTTGTCCACAAAGTGTATCAGATCTTTGTTTGCTAGATGAGATTGGGTCGTTCCAGAACTGGGCAAACTGTGCCGATAGAGCAGCTTCGCCTCGCCTCCAGTGGGACAGTGGGCATGCAGGCGATTCGGCAGATGCAGGTAGTCGTGTATGAAATCATCTTCTATGGGATAGAGTGCCTGCTTCAGTGTCTTCAAGTCGTTGCGCAACGACTTTCCACGCTCCTTAAGCTCCTCTAGCTGATCTGCGTCGGCTCCAGCCTTGGACAGCTCCTTCAGCCGTTTGGTTACCGTCTCCCGTTCCTCCGCCACCTTCGCCATTTGGTTGTGATACGTCTGGTAGCTCTGGTACTTGCCGAGCACACTTTCCACTCGAATGTCCAAGCCCCGCCCGGCGATGCTTCGCTCCAGAGATTCGCTGTCGCTAAAGGTATCCTTGAAATCAAAGTACGGCTGTAGGGTCACGTAGTTTTCGTTGGCCTTGTCCCCTGTTATGTACAGAGCAGAGATGCTCCTTCGGCTGGGAGCCGCAAGGCATCTTTTTAATGTTGTTCGCAGGCTCAACATTACTTTTTGTATTTCAATTTCAAAACAACAACAAAGGCAGCCGGTAAATAAGCCCAGTCAGCTGTTCGCAGCGTTGCCAGATCGCGTTGACTTGTTAAGGGTACTCCAAGAACTGTTATCTTTTACATGCCATTTTAGGGACTTCCCCGCAAATGTTAATCTCTAAAGTAAAAACTTTCCATTTAAATTGAATCGCTTCAAACTTTGATTTATTTCTGTTAAAAATACATTACAATTTATTTTTAAACTTATTTTGTGACAACAATTGATTTATTTTATTTAATTTTAAATGTTTCCTTTAGAAAGTCTGCTTGTACCATTACCATTGGTTTAAGGCCATAGCATAAGCTGGCGGGGGATTGAAATTTCTAATTTCATTGAGAATTAGTTCTTTCCAGCAATTTGTGGGTAAAACCATGTTCTCAAAGTTTTGATCGTACGCCGGGGCTATATCCTCAAGATGGTGGTGCGGTTCGATTAAATCCCTGAGATATGGATGGTTCATTGCCCCGTCAGCCGTAATTCGCCTGCCGGGTATCATTTCCAGCATTTTCTCCATCAAGTCCACAGCCATCGGATCGACCTGTGAGAACCTCTGCCTAAAACTGTACACTTCCCGATAGCGGTAATTTTGAACGTATTTACGGGCCCCATCATCTGCGATTCCGTTAATAAACTCTTCCGAAGGTCTGCCCATAAAGTTGAGCACAAGCTCCAGTTGATTTATTGAATGCGTGCCAGGGAAGAGCGCACGGCCCATGATAAGTTCCGCCAGAATGCAACCAACCGACCACATATCAATTGCATTTGTGTACTGATCCCAGCAGAAAAGGAGCTCGGGAGCACGGTACCACATGGTTCCCACATGGTCGCTCATAATGTCGGTCGAAAGCCTAGCCATGCCGAAATCTAGAATCCTCACATCCAAGTTATGGTTTATGGCAATGTTTCCGGGCTTCAGATCGCGATGCAAAACTCCAGCGCTATGTATATACTTAATACCCCTCAAGATCTTATACATGATCTTTTTCACCTCATTATTGCGAAGCTCCACTCTTCGCGTGAAGCAATGCAAGTCTTCGCTCATCAGGTGAGTCACCAGATACACCTGCTGAAAGTCATTCATTGTGGGGTTGGGATTTGACGACGGCGAGTGGAAGGTGTCCAGAAGGCTAATCACGTTGACATGGTCCATATGCTTGAGCAGGCGGATCTCGCGATAGACCCGCTTCGCATGGTCCGATGACTCAAACGGTCGCAGCAACTTTTTCATGGCCACATAATTAGCAGTGTCTTGCAGCCTCGCCTTGGCCACCTGTCCGAAGGAGCCGGCTCCCAGGGGACCAACAATCTCATAAATACGCGGAATCACCCACTCGTTTCCGTTCACTTGTACCCTCGCAAAACCAGCCATTTCTTTTGGATACCGTACGGTTTGACAACTCAAAGCTTAATGCAGTCGTATTAAAGAGTACCTCCTACATAAGAAAATCCTTATCTTCATATAAGTGCGCGTAGTATACATGCATGATTCAACTCCTTCCCTCTTTATGACCGGAATTGAAAAGTTAAGATAAGGGATCTCTTGATAGCAGATATATATAATTTGAAAAAAAAAAAAAATGGTTAAAAGCGGACAATAAAAACAATATAGGATTTAAACACCCTCCCACCGATAAAAATTTGTTTTTAAAAAACGAATTTATTGTGCGATTTACAGTATTAGTGGCCATAACACAAACATGGTACAAACATTTATAAACTACAAAGATTAGTCAACATTCCTTTATATCTTGCTATAAAAACAAACTTCCTGTTTAATACTTTAAGTCCTTGTTGGGCGGATCGCGTCTTACTTCACATCCTTCAAAACTTGAGCAAACGACGGCGGCGGCTTGAAGTTGGTCACCTCCTTAAAGATCAGCTCCTTCCACTTGTCCACCGGCAGATCCATGTCCTCGAAGCTGTGATCGTACGGCGGTGAGGTCTGCTCGTCGCTGGGCTCCGCGTACTTCTCGAGATACGGATGGGCCAGTGCCTCCTCGGCTGTGATCCTCTTTTCGGCGTCTAACTCGAGCATCTTCTCCAGCAGATCGATGGCCAGCGGATTGGCGTTCTCAAAAACCTTCTTGAAGCTACGCCTCTTCATGGGCGGCAGTGACTGGATGTAGGAGCGGGCGCTCTCCGAGGAGATCTTCTTCATGAAGTCGGCCGGTGGCGTGCCCAGCATCTCCATGATAAGATTGAGCTGGTGAATATGGTCGGTGCCCGGGAAAAGGGTGCGCCTGGTGATCAGCTCGGCCATGATGCAGCCCACCGACCAGATGTCTACCGTCTGGTTGTAGTGCATCCAGTTGAGCATAATCTCGGGCGCCCGGTACCATCGCGTGGCCACATAACCGGTCATCTCGTTCTCTGTTGGACGCGCCAGTCCGAAGTCCAGTATGCGCAGCTCACAGTCTTCGTTCACGGCTATGTTCGAGGGCTTGAGGTCGCGGTGAATCACCCCGGCGCTGTGGATGTACTTCAGCCCGCGGAGAATCTGGTAGACGAGGAACTGGACATGGTCGTCCGACAGGTGCTGCATCCGTATAATGTTGTTCAGGTCGGCGTCCATCAAATGCGTGACCAGGTACACTTGCTGGAAGTTCTCCAGCGACGCGTTAGGCGGATGCGGATGGAATATGTCCAGCAGTCCGATTACGTTCTCATGATCCATGTGCTTCAGCAGCCGGAGCTCCCTGTATGTCCGCTTGGCGTGAACGGCGGACTGGAAGGGACGAGCCAGTTTCTTGATGGCCACATGCATGTTGGTGCCCCGCACCAATGCCTTCGACACTTGGCCATAGGCCCCCGAACCTACGGGCTGCAGGTTCTGATACATCTCCGGGATCTCCCATTCCGTCCGGTTGATATCCAGCTTGTAGAACTTCTGGGCCTTAGAGGCGGACATATTGTGGCTCTGGAGGTTACAGGTGGCGAAGTGTGGGGACGGTAGGGCGTGTCACCCTAAAATTTTGGCACCGCACCTATCAAAAGCAAGATATGTATTAGCCACTAAACGGACTGGAAATCGAAAATACTACGCTGATTACGTTTATCTTGAGCAGTTCTACGACAACGACGGGACGGGGCTTCTGCTCCACGCCCAAGAATATCAACAACTAAGTATTGGTCTCTGGCATATTTCCTATATTTGCGCTATTACTCCACTCCGATGAGTCTTAGGAATCGGCTCGATCGGCAGCGACTCGGGTGTGCGCTGCGATCGTCAAAACTTTCATGCATATGTATGGGACATTTAGGAGATTGCTAAAGTTCATTGAACGTATGAACATGTACTATTCAAGTAATATAAGATAAATGTAAATATATAAATTATTTTGGAATTATCAGATACAAGAAGTAAATCACAGAAGTAAAACCTTAAACATATATACCCTACAAACTAAAGAGTACCGCACGTAAATAAAAATAAACACTCGGCGTTGCCAGACCGACACTTGGCGTGATTATGTGCTGCCACATCGAGGAGGGCTTTTAAAAAGAACAGCGCTGCCATATCTCTCAATACCGGTCTGGTTCCAGTGGGCTTATCACATTCCTTATCAAATTCGTTATCTCAGCATAAACGCATCCCGATGTTTGATCCTCTGCCGAAGAAAGCTCTATTAGTCTCGCACCGAAGCCGCTACCGCTCGCATCGCTCAGGAGTTAAACCTTAACTAGGTAATGTTAGTGGATCTCGGGGTAAATTACGCTCAACATAAATATGTATAGATTAGGTTTGACCTTGACCTGTGTATGCCAAAAAAATCAACAGTGAATTATGCGGGGACTACGAGATATGTCGCCTCATCCCTGAGAATTACGATCTTTGCAAAGTGGACAGGCCAACATGAAGATCTTGGATTATCCATAAATGAAGATAGTGCTTGCACCAATCGAACATGGGTTTCAGTAAAACATCTGCTGGCCGAGTCCGATTAGATAGCCACTGGACTCCGAAGAGTTTTCTTTTATTCTGGTAGATAAGAGCCTTATTTATCTGGTTTATTTTCAGTTATAACATGACTTCGACTCTCCTACCCGGTAACATCGTGTACGGCGGTTCTGTGACCGCCCAGGATGGCCAGAACTCCAGATCTTTGGGCCAGTACGTCCTGGACAAGTACAAGAGCTTCGGCGACCGAACTATGTTGGTGGATGCTGCCAAAGGTGTGGAGTACTCGGCCAGCTTCATGCACAAGTCCATTGTCCGGCTGGCCTACATTCTTCAGAAATTGGGCGTGAAACAGAACGACGTCATCGGTCTGTCCAGCGAGAACAGCGTTAACTTTGCCCTGGCCATGTTCGCCGGCTTTGCAGTGGGTGCTACAGTGGCTCCTCTTAACGTGACCTACTCGGATCGCGAGGTCGATCATGCCATCAACCTATCCAAGCCCAAGATCATATTTGCCTCCGAGCTTACTTTGGATCGAGTGGCGAAAGTGGCTAGCAAGAACAAGTTCGTCAAAGGTATCATCGCCATCAACGGCAGCTCCAAGAACTTCAAGAACATCCATGACCTCAAGGAGCTGATGGACAACGACAAGTTCAAGACCCCATCGGAGTTTACGTCCCCGCTGGCTAATAAGAACGAGGATGTGGCCCTGATTGTGTGCTCTTCGGGAACCACGGGACTGCCCAAGGGGGTGCAGATCACCCAACTAAATGTGCTAACCACCCTCGACTCACAACTGTAAGTATCTTGTCTAAATTGTAAAGATCTGAACTAATATTTTATCAACAGAAAGCCCACTGAAATACCTATGGAAGAGACAACTGTGCTAACCGTAATTCCGTGGTTCCACGCCTTCGGCTGCCTTACGCTGGTCATCTACACTTGCATGGGCTCCCGGCTAGTGTTCCTGCTGAAATTCGAGGAGAACCAGTTCTTGTCGGCGATCGAGAAGTATCGCGTGATGATGGCCTTCATGGTGCCCCCGTTGATGGTATTCCTAGCCAAGCACCCCATCGTAGACAAGTACGATCTGTCCTCGCTGATGGTTCTGCTGTGTGGAGCCGCACCACTGAGTCGCGAGACCGAGGACCAGATCAAAAAGCGTATTGGAGTACCTTTTATACGCCAGGGCTACGGACTGAGTGAGGCCACTTTGGGCGTACTGGTTCAGAACGATGATTTCTGCAAACCTGGTAGCGTCGGCATTCTTAAGGTGGGCATCTACGCCAAGGTCATCGATCCGGACACTGGCAGGATTCTAGGTGCCAACGAGCGGGGCGAACTATGCTTTAAGGGCGACGCCATCATGAAGGGATATATTGGGGATACCAAGTCCACACAGACGGCCATCAGAGATGGCTGGCTGCACACCGGTGACATTGGGTACTACGATGACGATTTCGAGTTCTTTATTGTGGACCGCATCAAGGAGCTGATCAAGTACAAGGGCTTCCAGGTGCCTCCAGCCGAGATTGAGGCTCTGCTGCTCACCCACGAGAAGATCAAGGATGCAGCAGTCATTGGCAAGCCGGACGAAGAGGCCGGCGAGCTGCCGCTGGCTTTCGTGGTGAAGCAAGCCAATGTCCAGCTGAGCGAGAATGATGTCATTCAGTTCGTGAACGAGCTCGCCTCGCCGGCCAAGCGGCTTAGGGGTGGCGTGATCTTCGTGGAAGACATTCCAAAGAACCCTAGTGGGAAGATCCTGCGTCGAGTTCTGCGCGACATGCTCAAGAAGCCAAAGTCCAAGCTGTAAGGGCAACGGATTGCTCTGCTTTTCTTGGTTTATGATTTATTATTGCTAAGCGTGTAATAAACTACAAACTGGCTTAGGTTTGTATTTACTTTTGTTTTGTTTTTCCTGTGAAAATGTTAAATTCTAAGTACTCAAGTATAAATTTAAACAAGAAAGGAAGCTAACTTCGACACGCCGAAGTTTGTATACCCTTGCAGATTGCAATTGAATCACTAAGAATCGAGCCATTCTGGTTAAATAATTGAAATTATTCGAAGTGAATTTCATGCATTTTTGGCTGAGTTATGAACATTTGAAAATGATTTTTTTTTCCCAAAATAAATCGCACAATTTTTGAAAAAATATGTAAGGGGTTCCATCATTAAAACTCTAAAAAATTGAGAAAAAATGAAATTGAAAAGAACCCTAAACGTAGTATGCAGTTTTGTTAGGCTTAGAAAAGGCAATTCTGAACAGCTTTCCGAATTGAATTTCTATATTTTTTGACTGAGTTATGAACCTTTGAAAATTAGTTATTTTCCCCAAAAATAAATCGCACCATTTTTGCAAAAATATGTAAGGGGTACCATAATTAAAATTCTAAAAAATTGAGAAAAAATGAAATTGAAAAGAACCCTAAACGTAGTATGCAGTTTTGTTAGGCTTAGAAAATGCAACTCAGAACAGCTTTCCGAATTGAATTTCTATATTTTTTGACTGAGTTATGAACCTTTGAAAATTAGTTATTTTCCCCAAAAATAAATCGCACCATTTTTGCAAAAATATGTAAGGGGTACCATCATAAAAATTCTAAAAAAATGAGAAAAAATGAAATTGAAAAGAAACCTAAACGTAGTATGCAGTTTTGTTAGGCTTAGAAAAGGCAATTCTGAACAGCTTTCCGAATTGAATTTCATGCATTTTTGGCTGAGTTATGAACATTTGAAAATTAGTTAGTTTTGCAAAATATGTAAGGGGTACTATCATTAAAATTCTAAAAAATTGAGAAAAAATGAAATTGAAAAGAACCCTAAACGTAGTATGCAGTTTTGTTAGGCTTAGAAAAGGCAATTCTGAACAGCTTTCCGAATTGAATTTCATGCATTTTTGGCTGAGTTATGAACATTTGAAAATTAGTTAGTTTTGCAAAATATGTAAGGGGTACTATCATTAAAATTCTAAAAAATTGAGAAAAAAATGAAATTGAAAAGAACCCTAAACGTAGTATGCAGTTTTGTTAGGCTTAGAAAAGGCAACTCAGAACAGCTTTCCGAATTGAATTTCATGCATTTTTGGCTGAGTTATGAACCTTTGAAAATTAGTTAGTTTTGCAAAATATGTAAGGGGTACTATCATTAAAATTCTAAAAAATTGAGAAAAAATGAAATTGAAAAGAACCCTAAACGTAGTATGCAGTTTTGTTAGGCTTAGAAAAGGCAACTCAGAACAGCTTTCCGAATTGAATTTCATGCATTTTTGGCTGAGTTATGAACCTTTGAAAATTAGTTAGTTTTGCAAAATATGTAAGGGGTACTATCATTAAAATTCTAAAAAATTGAGAAAAAATGAAATTGAAAAGAACCCTAAACGTAGTATGCAGTTTTGTTAGGCTTAGAAAAGGCAACTCAGAACAGCTTTCCGAATTGAATTTCATGCATTTTTGGCTGAGTTATGAACCTTTGAAAATTAGTTAGTTTTGCAAAATATGTAAGGGGTACTACTATCATTAAAATTCTAAAAAATTGAGAAAAAATGAAATTGAAAAGAACCCTAAACGTAGTATGCAGTTTTGTTAGGCTTAGAAAAGGCAACTCAGAACAGCTTTCCGAATTGAATTTCATGCATTTTTGGCTGAGTTATGAACCTTTGAAAATTAGTTAGTTTTGCAAAATATGTAAGGGGTACTATCATTAAAATTCTAAAAAATTGAGAAAAAATGAAATTGAAAAGAACCCTAAACGTAGTATGCAGTTTTGTTAGGCTTAGAAAAGGCAATTCTGAACAGCTTTCCGAATTGAATTTCATGCATTTTTGGCTGAGTTATGAACATTTGAAAATTAGTTAGTTTTCCAAAATATGTAAGGGGTACTATCATTAAAATTCTAAAAAATTGAGAAAAAATGAAATTGAAAAGAACCCTAAACGTAGTATGCAGTTTTGTTAGGCTTAGAAAAGGCAATTCTGAACAGCTTTCCGAATTGAATTTCATGCATTTTTGGCTGAGTTATGAACATTTGAAAATTAGTTAGTTTTGCAAAATATGTAAGGGGTACTATCATTAAAATTCTAAAAAATTGAGAAAAAATGAAATTGAAAAGAACCCTAAACGTAGTATGCAGTTTTGTTAGGCTTAGAAAAGGCAACTCAGAACAGCTTTACGAATTGAATTTCATGCATTTTTGGCTGAGTTATGAACATTTGAAAAATAGTTAGTTTTGCAAAATATGTAAGGGGTACTATCATTAAAATTCTAAAAAATTGAGAAAAAATGAAATTGAAAAGAACCCTAAACGTAGTATGCAGTTTTGTTAGGCTTAGAAAAGGCAACTCAGAACAGCTTTCCGAATTGAATTTCATGCATTTTTGGCTGAGTTATGAACATTTGAAAATTAGTTAGTTTTGCAAAATATGTAAGGGGTACTATCATTAAAATTCTAAAAAATTGAGAAAAAATGAAGTTGAAAAGAACCCTAAACGTAGTATGCAGTTTTGTTAGGCTTAGAAAAGGCAACTCAGAACAGCTTTCCGAATTGAATTTCATGCATTTTTGGCTGAGTTATGAACATTTGAAAATTAGTTAGTTTTCCAAAATATGTAAGGGGTACTATCATTAAAATTCTAAAAAATTGAGAAAAAATGAAATTGAAAAGAACCCTAAACGTAGTATGCAGTTTTGTTAGGCTTAGAAAAGGCAATTCTGAACAGCTTTCCGAATTGAATTTCATGCATTTTTGGCTGAGTTATGAACATTTGAAAATTAGTTAGTTTTGCAAAATATGTAAGGGGTACTATCATTAAAATTCTAAAAAATTGAGAAAAAATGAAATTGAAAAGAACCCTAAACGTAGTATGCAGTTTTGTTAGGCTTAGAAAAGGCAACTCAGAACAGCTTTCCGAATTGAATTTCATGCATTTTTGGCTGAGTTATGAACATTTGAAAATTAGTTAGTTTTGCAAAATATGTAAGGGGTACTATCATTAAAATTCTAAAAAATTGAGAAAAAATGAAATTGAAAAGAACCCTAAACGTAGTATGCAGTTTTGTTAGGCTTAGAAAAGGCAACTCAGAACAGCTTTCCGAATTGAATTTCATGCATTTTTGGCTGAGTTATGAACCTTTGAAAATTAGTTAGTTTTGCAAAATATGTAAGGGGTACTACTATCATTAAAATTCTAAAAAATTGAGAAAAAATGAAATTGAAAAGAACCCTAAACGTAGTATGCAGTTTTGTTAGGCTTAGAAAAGGCAACTCAGAACAGCTTTCCGAATTGAATTTCATGCATTTTTGGCTGAGTTATGAACCTTTGAAAATTAGTTAGTTTTGCAAAATATGTAAGGGGTACTACTATCATTAAAATTCTAAAAAATTGAGAAAAAATGAAATTGAAAAGAACCCTAAACGTAGTATGCAGTTTTGTTAGGCTTAGAAAAGGCAATTCTGAACAGCTTTCCGAATTGAATTTCATGCATTTTTGGCTGAGTTATGAACATTTGAAAATTAGTTAGTTTTCCAAAATATGTAAGGGGTACTATCATTAAAATTCTAAAAAATTGAGAAAAAATGAAATTGAAAAGAACCCTAAACGTAGTATGCAGTTTTGTTAGGCTTAGAAAAGGCAACTCAGAACAGCTTTCCGAATTGAATTTCATGCATTTTTGGCTGAGTTATGAACCTTTGAAAATTAGTTAGTTTTGCAAAATATGTAAGGGGTACTACTATCATTAAAATTCTAAAAAATTGAGAAAAAATGAAATTGAAAAGAACCCTAAACGTAGTATGCAGTTTTGTTAGGCTTAGAAAAGGCAACTCAGAACAGCTTTCCGAATTGAATTTCATGCATTTTTGGCTGAGTTATGAACCTTTGAAAATTAGTTAGTTTTGCAAAATATGTAAGGGGTACGTACTATCATTAAAATTCTAAAAAATTGAGAAAAAATGAAATTGAAAAGAACCCTAAACGTAGTATGCAGTTTTGTTAGGCTTAGAAAAGGCAATTCTGAACAGCTTTCCGAATTGAATTTCATGCATTTTTGGCTGAGTTATGAACATTTGAAAATTAGTTAGTTTTGCAAAATATGTAAGGGGTACTATCATTAAAATTCTAAAAAATTGAGAAAAAATGAAATTGAAAAGAACCCTAAACGTAGTATGCAGTTTTGTTAGGCTTAGAAAAGGCAACTCAGAACAGCTTTACGAATTGAATTTCATGCATTTTTGGCTGAGTTATGAACATTTGAAAATTAGTTAGTTTTGCAAAATATGTAAGGGGTACTATCATTAAAATTCTAAAAAATTGAGAAAAAATGAAATTGAAAAGAACCCTAAACGTAGTATGCAGTTTTGTTAGGCTTAGAAAAGGCAACTCAGAACAGCTTTACGAATTGAATTTCATGCATTTTTGGCTGAGTTATGAACATTTGAAAAATAGTTAGTTTTGCAAAATATGTAAGGGGTACTATCATTAAAATTCTAAAAAATTGAGAAAAAAATGAAATTGAAAAGAACCCTAAACGTAGTATGCAGTTTTGTTAGGCTTAGAAAAGGCAACTCAGAACAGCTTTCCGAATTGAATTTCATGCATTTTTGGCTGAGTTATGAACATTTGAAAATTAGTTAGTTTTGCAAAATATGTAAGGGGTACTATCATTAAAATTCTAAAAAATTGAGAAAAAATGAAATTGAAAAGAACCCTAAACGTAGTATGCAGTTTTGTTAGGCTTAGAAAAGGCAACTCAGAACAGCTTTCCGAATTGAATTTCATGCATTTTTGGCTGAGTTATGAACCTTTGAAAATTAGTTAGTTTTGCAAAATATGTAAGGGGTACTACTATCATTAAAATTCTAAAAAATTGAGAAAAAATGAAATTGAAAAGAACCCTAAACGTAGTATGCAGTTT